GGTTTGACCTCGCATCACCCCAAACCCAGAGAAACAAACAACTTGCAGATGTTCTAGAAAGAGTATAAGTGAGAAGAAAAGCTCTTTTCGCTTTTGTCCCTGTACCATTATGTTGAACCCACGCCCACCTCCTCTGTTTGTGCTCTGAGGAAGCACGAGCTGTTTTGCCCAGGCCTTCAGCATGTGTTCTACTGAGTGGAGCAAATCAGCTCAGCTCCCCGGCAGCTCACCTTTCAGCTGGCAGCCCCACTGCCCTCTTTAGTTGGGTCTCTTGCTTACTGTTTCCTTTTGTTCTTACTCAGATGAGCAGTTTGCAGATCAAGGAAGAGAAAGTCAAAGCTGACAGCAATGGTGAGTCCCTGGAACTACAGACTAGGCACCTGTTAGACCTGTGCTTGTGCCGCAGCTCACTGCAGTGCGCAGTGCAGCTCTCCCAGAGTCAGTCGACACGTGTCAACCTGGAATGGAGCCCAAATCAGGAACGGGGGTACATTTCGGGAGAGGGAATGTTTTCCAGATTCTCCTAGACTTAAATAACGAAAGTCCCTATTGTATTTTCTCCTGTTTACTTGATGTTTGAATCTTTTGAAGTTTGACTGGGTTCAAGCCAGGAATGTTGGCTCTCATGTGATTCAGGAGGATTTTTGAGGTTTTTTTAGATCCCTCCTCTCCCATTACCACATAGTAAAACCCTGTCTCAGAAACAAACAAACAAGAGCCTTGCAAGGTAATGTAATCCTGTAATCCCAGCACTCGGGGAGGCAGAGGCAGGCGGATCTCTGAGTTCAAGGCTAGCCTGGTCTACAAACCAAGTACAGGACAGCCAAGGCTACTCAGAGAAACCCTGTCTCCGGAAAAAACAAACAAACAAACAAAAATCAACAACTCAGAAAGTATAAAAAGGTACAGAGCCCCCTTTCCACACCATTCCAGTGTTTACTGTTCCCATGCCACCTGTGTTCATTTGTTGGGTTGCCTATGAAACAGCGCCTCAGAGGTATGTAGTTTAAACCTCGTAGCTGCCAGGTGTGGTGGTGCAGGCCCTTACTGCCAGGAGAGGCAGAGGCAGGTGGATTTCTGAGGTAGAGCTACAAAGTGAGACCCTTTCTCAAAAGCAAACAAAATCCAACCACATTAGCTTATTGTTTGAAAGCTCAGGAGAGTAGACAAGATCGAGGTGTCCAAACTTTGTCACTTCTGAGGGATTGTAGAAAAGATCTTGTTCCAGGCCTCTCCCCTGACTCCTGGTGGTTTGTGGCTGTCTTTGGTGTTCCCTTGGGTTTTCTCAGTTTTGTCCAGATCTCTGCCCTCAAGTCACATGGTATTCTCCTCAATATCATTCCTCTTTCCATTATTGGTTGGTTGGTTGGTTGGTTGGAAATGCTAGGGATCGAACTTAAGTTTTAAACATTCGAGGCAAGTGTTTTGTTACCACTCAGCCCTAGGTTTCCCCTTTTTATATTGGCCCAGTAATATTGGATTAGGGTACACTAACCCAGTGGCATCTGCAGTGACCCCATTTGCATATAAGGTCCCTTTCTGAGGTACTGCAGATTAGGAAAAGGATAAGTGAATTTTAGGAATACTGGATTCAGTCTGTAGCACAGAATTGACAGCTGTTGGTGATGTTATACTTTAGTTTCATTTTGCTTGGATTGTTTAGGTCCTTTATTTATTTGTTTGTTTGTTTTTGGCTACAGGGTCTTGCCATATAGCTGAGGCTGGACTTGAATTCATAGCATTCCTTCTACCTCTGCAGCCTAAGGGACAGGATTACAGATTTATGTTACTGTGCCCAGCTCTGAATTTTTAATACAATCCCAAAGTTTCCTTTTTCTTCCAAAATTTTTTTTAATATATAAGGCAAGTACAAGTCGGGATTCATATTTTCATTCTTTCTGTTTTCCTGTCCTCTCTTCCTGCTACTCCCTACTTCTGAAAGGTGACAAGATAGTGCATAGTATACTTGATTTTCTTCATGCAATGATATTCTTCTATAAGCTCTCCTTATTGAACTACACAGCATTATATTATGCTGATATGTCATTAATATAAAGTTTGTCTCAATTTGATATTCCTATTTTTAAAATTTTATTTTAAAATTAGTGTGCATTAGTGTGAAGGTGTTTGATCCCTTGGACTTGGCGGTACAGTCAGTTGTGAGCTGCCATGTGGGTGTTGGGAGTTGATCCTGGGTCCTTTGGAAGAACAGACAGAACCATCTCTCCAGCCCTATTTGATATTATTATAAACAGTATGTCTTAGAATAAGCATGAGCTTAAATATACTGTGCAATATATTTGTACAATAATTTACCCAGGATAGGTTTGTCAGGTCAAGAATATAAGTATTTGGAAAAAAAGAAAATTTTTGGCATGCTGGAGAGATGGCTCGGTGCTTAAGAGTTATCATTGCTTTTGCAGAAACCCAGTTCTGTCTAACACCCATATCAGGTGATTCACCATCCTGTAACTACTCCCTTTTCTGGCCTTTAGGATACCTGCACTCGTGTGCATAGACATATATAATTAAAATAAAAATACATCTTTTCTTTTTCTGTTTGTTTGTTTTTTTGAGACAGGGTTTCACCTGCTTCTGCCTCCTCCATGTGCTGGGAGTAAAGGCATGTGCCACCAACCAGCTAGCTTGAAAATAAATCTATGGTTCACGTGTGCTTGTGCGCATGTGTGACACGTCTGTCGAGTGCACAGGAGGTCAGAAGACAACTTACAGGAGTTGATTCTGTCCTGCCAGGTGTGACCTGGAGATGAACTCAGGTCGTCAGGTGTGACAGCAAACTTCCTTACCTACGGTCTCACAGTATTGACAAATATCTTCAAAGTAGGGCTGAGGGTATATATAGCTCAGGGGTAGACTCCTCTACAGCATGCAGGAGCCCAGATCAACCCTTAGCACCGTATAAACCAGGCGTGCAGGGCCTCTTTAATCTAAACACTCGGAAGTAGAAGCAGGAGGATAGAAGTTCAGTATCATCCTCTGCTTCACAGTAAACTCGGCCACTGAGCTACATGAGATCCTGTCTCAAAACCAAAATAAAATCTATCCTCTGTAAGATTGGTTTATTTTTAGTGTTTTGAAGCACAGTCTCTATATAAAGCCTTGACAGACCGGGCTGGCCTCACTCTGGGTGTGCTTGTTTCTGCTTCCCCACTCCTGGAATCATTCACCACTATGTGAGGCTCTCCGTAAGTATCCTGTGATTTCAAGTATTTCTGTCAACAGAGCCTGAAAGTGTCTGCTTCCCTACAGTCTCATAACAAAGTGTTTAGTCGGACTTTTTAGGAGTTTCTCTAGTCTTATAGGTAAAAAATAGGGAATAGAATTCATGATGTGATGTTATGCTGTATTTTAGGATAACTAAGTCAGAAACTACCTGTTTTTGTGATTCTACATTCAAGGTTTTCTTATGCACTTACGTATATTGTAAACATAAAATCATTAAATAGAAAAAAAATTCCATCTGTTTACATTTTTCACTTCAGTAAGTTTTTCAGTGCTTATACTGTCTCAGCCTTTAGGTGGGGTAGTGTTTGCCTTTTTGGTGACAGCTCTTTTCTTGTGTAGGTGTTATCAAAGCCAGCACTGCTGCAGAAAAGACAGAGGACGAAGAGAAAGGTAATCATTCTTTTAAGTTGCAAGAGCCTTAGTATGGCCGGGGCTTACCCACCCCAAGCCAAAGACCCCCTTGACTTACAAGAACAAGTACATGAGGGGGAAGTCAAGAGTGTGCAGTTCCTGAAGCCAGAGAAAATGGCTTCAATGGTAGTGTGTCAGATCTGGGAAGAAGGCTCACTGAGTAAAGTGCTTCCATGAAAGCGTGACCTGAGTTCTACCCCGGTGTGTACTTCACAGAGCATGCATCAGTAAGCCTAGCTCTGATGGAGAGTGGTATGATGGCAACGGGGGATCCTGAGCTGTCTGCCAGCCAGTCTAACAGTTGGTAGGCTCCAGGCTTGTTGAGAGACCACACCTCAAAAAAATAGGGTATGAAGCAATGGAGGAAGATGCACAATACAATCTCTGACCTCCACACTCATGTGCACGTTTGTGTACACCTTTGTGTACACACACACACAGACACAAATGCAAAAGGGATGTATGGATGTCAGGCTGGACATGTACCTCAAGGGCAGAACACTTGTCTGGTGTGCTAGGCCCTGAGTTCTATCCCCAGCACTGGAAAAACAAACAAGGGTGTCACTGTAGTGACAAGGTGATTAAGGAAAGAAGCATCATGTTTATAGTCTCAGCTGTTTGAGAGGCTCAGGCAAGTGAGGCTTAAAACAAAAAATAGCTTACTAGTGCAGGGACAGAATCCATGCACTCAGGGCCTTGTGGCAGGAGAGTGCTGTGGCTTCAGCTGAGCCCCTATAAGGTGAAAATAGGTGAGACTCAAAAAGTTAAAGATGAAAGGCAGTGGGATTGGGCTTTTCTCCAACTGTGAGTGCTTGTCAGGGTTTAGTGTAAAGACACAAAGAGTGGGGCTTGCCCCGAGTGGATGAGGAGAATGTCCTTTCTTCCTGACAGAGGACAGAGCTGCCCAGTCTTTACTCAACAAGCTGATCAGAAGCAATCTTGTGGATAACACCAACCAAGTGGAAGTCCTGCAGAGGGACCCAACCTCCCCGCTCTACTCAGTGAAGTCTTTCGAAGAGCTTCGCCTGTGAGTGTTCAGCTTTGAACAGCTACTACCCGCTCCCAGTAAAACAGTATCTCTACACTGGGCATGGCAAAACATATTTTAATCCCAGCATTCAGGAAGCAGAGGCGGGGGATCTGTGAGTTCAGTCTAGCTGGGACTGCATAGAGAGACTCTCTCAAAGATAACAAATCCAGCATTTCAGATCCCTGTGGACTTTTACTTTGGCTTTAAAATTTGCTTAAGTCATACTTATGTCTTTGATTAGGCAATAATCTGCGTAATTAAAAAATGAGTGTGGGAGGGGTGGGGGTGTGGTAGAGGGAGTGCTTGCTCAACAAATGGGAAGTCCTGTGTTTGATCCCTAGCACTGCACAAAACAAGCACTTGGCGGCATGCCTATAATCCCAGCATCTGCAGGCAGGGGATCAAAAACTCAAGGTCATCCTAGGTTGCACAGCAAATCTGAGGCCTGGCTGGACACATGAGACTGTGATGGTTACAGTGATGGTCTTCTACCCCTCCTGACTACCCATTTTCTTCCAAGGTAGCTCTTTTCTTTTTCTGGGGACACTGGATCTCAGAGCAGTCTGGTGGTGCTGCAGGCCCATAATCTAGCTGTTTTGAAGTAGGGGGAGCAGAAGTTGAGGATCTGCCTGGGCTACAGAGTATATGTGGGATCTCACTATGCTGCTCTTGATAGCCTTGGACACCTGGGCTCAAGGATCCTCCCACCTGAGCCTCATGGGTAATTGGGACTGTGCATGTGCACCTGATTTTCTCTGTAGAGACTGAAATGCTATAGATTCATTTATCAGAGCTGAAAGTCTTTTTTTCTTTTATACTCTTAGAACTTTGAATAAAATATTGGATGACAGGTGATTTCTGGATGTCAGGAACATGTCTTATTAGGTAAGCCCTTTGGAAGACTACAGGGTTTACAACATTTTTAGAAAGTGTCTGAAGAACCTGGGTTCCTGGGACCTTGAGTACAACACAGCCCTTGTAGGTCAGCCTTTGAGGGAAGGGACCACTTTTAATAATGAAGTGTACTTAACAGCTCTCAGGAGGGGTTTCTAATAATTTGAAATGAGACCGCGCTGTATCGCATCGTGTCTGTACTCAACACTGCCACACCGACCGCTTGAACATGCAGAATGGATGGAGCTCACGTGGCAAATATTGTGTGCGTGTGACAAAGACATTTACCTCTGAGCCTGCACCACATCCATTCAGCTAGACATCCCAGGGACCCTCCTGTATCTGCCCCTCTGCTATTCCTGGGCTTATAGCATGTAGCACCACTCCTCCTTAGCTTTTCCATGGGTGCTGGGCATGTAAAACCATGCTTACACCGTCAGGCTCGCGTGGCAAGACTTTACCAGCTGAGCTATCTCAGCAGCCCCATTCCTGTCAGATTTCTATCACAATCTTTTTTGTTTGGTTCAGTTGGTTGGTTGGTTTTGTGTTTTTGAGACAATGTTTCTCCGATTAGTCCTGGCTATCCTGGAACTAGTTCTGTAGACCAGGCTGGACTCACAGAGGTCCACTTTCCTCTGCCTCCCAAGTGCTACAATTAAAGGCTTGTGCCACCACTGCCTGACAAAAATAATTTTTTTAATTTAGTTTTATTTATTTATTTCTTATTTTAATGCATGAGTGCTTTTGTCTGCATGTATGTATGTACCTGGAGCAAGTGGAGGTCAGAAGGCAGCAGACCTGGAATTGTAACAGATGGCTGTGAGTCACCATGTAGGTGCTGGGAACAGAACTCGGGTCCTCTAGAAGAGCAGCCAGTGCTGCTCTTAACCACTGAGACATACCCCCCCCCCCGCTTTTTTTCTTCCTCCTCCTCCCCCTGCTTCGTCTTCGTCTTCCTATATAGCATGAGATAGTGTAGGTTATCTGAGGACTTACAGTGATCCTCCTGCCTCAGCTTCCTAAGTGCTAGGATTACACGTGTGAGCCAGTTGTCTTAGCTGTGTCAGGACAATCTGATGTGCTCCATTGTTTCCTAAGTCTGAGGTAGTTCTTCCACACTCTTGAGTTTTTGATTCATTTGAAAGACTTGCACTTTCAGTTTAGCTCCTCGTCCATTGCTGTTTGTGAAAGAACCTAGTTAAGTAGCCATGGATGGCCTGGAACTAACAGATACAGAGCTGAGCTACCACTTGGAGCTTGAATTGTCTTCTTATTGAGTTGTTGGACGGTAACTGGATGGAGCCTAGGTTGCTGTTTGGGGTTCTCTCATTCTTTGTTATGTGCCTGTGCATGGGAATGCATGAAGGCCTGGGACTGCTTGTCTTGCCCTCTCATTTCCCACCTTGTTTTCTGACAGGGCCTCTCACTGAGCTTGTAGCTTACCTGTTGGCTAGACTGGCTGGCCAGCAAGCTGGGAATACAGACCCCCCGCCCCGACACACACACACACACACACACACACACACACACCCTTACACCCTTTGCAAACACTAGGATCACAGACATGTGCCACCGTGCCAAACTTGAATTATTTTATAATTAAAGATTTGAAATGCAAAAGAAAAAAAAAGAAGCCAGTGGAACCTGTTGGGTTGGTGAATATTATTAGGTGGTGACCTTTTTTTAAACAAGCACGTCAGAGGCCGCCTTTATTACCAAATAGAGAATACCAAAGGGTTTTGTTTATTTTGAAAATTAGCTATTTCTGAGAACCCACATATGCCTGAAGAGTTGGCTTCATAGAGAAATACAGAAAACTTAAAAGAACTTTGGTTTGGCATTTATTTTTCTCCTTAGTTTTCTTTATTTGTGAATATGAACGCTTTAATTTTCTGTATGCCTACATGATAGAAGAGCATCAGACAGAAAAGTGCTTCAGATTTCATTGTAGATAGTTATGAGCCACAATGTGGTTGCTGGGAATTGAACTCGGAACCTCTGAATGAGCAGCCAGTGCTCTTAACTGCTGAGCCATCTTCCTAACTCCTTTAAAAATATTTTTATTGCAAATTTTTAATATTTTTAATTTAATATAAAATTTTCATTCTTTTTTTTCTGTGTGTGTGTGTGTGTGTGTGTGGATACCTGTGTGTGTGCACCAAGAGCATGCCTGGGGCCCTTAGAGGCCAGAAGAGTGCAGTCAGTCAGGTCTCAGAACTGTAGTTAGAATTTGGGTCCTGAGAATCTAACCAAGTTCCTTTGTAAGAGGTTAGTTCTCTTAACTGCTCAGCTATCTCTCTAGCCTCATTGTCCTTTAAGGGTTTTTTTTTTTTTTTTTTACTGCATTTATTTGTGAGCGTGTGTCTGTGTGTGTGCTCGTGCACGCACAGAGGTTAGAGGATAAGTTGTGGGAGTCCCCCTGTCTATCAAGTGGGGTCCAGCTGACAGATCAAACTCAGGTCATCAGGCTTTGTAGCAGGTGCCTTTATTCAGCCATCTTGCTAGTCTATTGCCATCCTTCCCCACAAAGATAAAGTCTCACTGAGTAGCTCAGGATAGTATGCAATTCATGGCAATCCTCTTCCTCCAGCTCTCTTACTGCAATTGTAGGCCCAGCTATTAGCTTTTCTGTGATTCCTGCACTCAATAAAGACAGAGGTAAAGTGATTCAAGCCTGCCCTCAGCAACATAGTGAGTTCAAGGCTAGACTGGGCTAGTGAACACTTTCCTTTAAAAAAACAAAACAAAAAACAACAACAACAACAAAACAAAACAGAAAGCCTTCTGGGCTAGCAGATGGCTCAGTGGGTAAAAGCTATTGCTGTGCAAGCTGATGACTTCAGTTCAATTTCAGAACTGACTCCTGAAAGTTGTCCTGTAACCTCCATGTGTCCATGGGACAGAGCAGGCAACACCTGCACTCCCGGGTGTGTCATGCACAAATGCGTAATAATAAGCAAACAAAAATTAAAAATAAGAGTTTTGTGTATTTTTTGTTAAATACTTTATCAATAGAGGTAGTAGAGAACATATTATGAATACATATAAACATAATATTAATTGATGCTTGTTGTATAGTTACTTAAGAACTTGTTTCCAGGACTTGGATGGGGATAGACCATCCAAGATCCAGGAGAATGCATTGCCCATGATGCTTGCTCAGTGAGCATAGTGCTTGCCTGGCACGCGTGAAGCCCTGGGCGCAGTTCCATACTACATAAGTGTGGTGATGGACTCACTAGATGAGTCGTGGTCGGGTATATCAAGTTCCAGGACAGCCACTGCTACGTAGAGACCTTATCTCCAAGAAATAAAAATAAATTTTGGTTTTTTGGTTTTGGTGGTTGTGGTGTGGTTTTTCTTTGTGTAGTCTTGGCTATCCTGGAACTCTCTCTCTGTAGACCAGGCCGGCCTCGAACTCACAGAGATCCGGCTGCCTCTGCCTCCCAGGTGCTGGGATTAAAGGTGTGTACCACCACCGCCCAATTAAATAGTTTTTAAAAAATGAGTCAGGATGATCAGAAGAATTAAGAAAGGATAGCCTTGGCTACCTGAGACACTGCCAAAAAGACTTCTGAAAATTCCATTTTCTTTTTCTTTTTTTCTTTTTTTTTTCAAAACAGGGTTTCTCTGTGTAGCCTTGGTTGTCCTGGGCTGTGTAGACCAGCTGGCCTCAAACTCACAATGATCCGCCTGCCCCTGCCTGCCTGAGTGCTGGGATTACAGGCATTCGCCACAATGCCTGCTCCAGTCCTTTTTTCTGTCTTCCATGGACACCCACGCACATCTATGCATACACATAGATAAAGATAAATCTTTTTAAAAAATTAGTTAGGAGCTGGTAAGGTGGTTCGTTGGGTAAAGGCACTTGCCACCAATCCTGATAACTTAAGTTCAGTCCCTAGGACCTTCATGGTAAAAGGAGAACACTGCCTTGTGCAAGTTGCCCTCTGGCCTTTACCTGAACACCGTGGCACAATCACACGTGTATCTATAGAGAATAAATAAATGTAAACTTTAGAATAATAGTTTGATTGAGATAGGAAGTGTGTCTTGCTAGATCTAGGAAAAGATGATAAGCCTCTCAAACCATTTGAATTGCTAGAAATCCATCTCATCTCTACGTTTCCTCCTAGGAAACCACAGCTTCTCCAAGGAGTCTATGCCATGGGCTTCAATAGACCATCCAAGATCCAGGAGAATGCATTGCCCATGATGCTTGCTGAACCGTGAGTGCAGACCCAACCGTACCTTTTCAGAATTGGTTTCACTAAATGCTTCATGACTGGCTTTCATTGTTTCTGGGCACAAAATGGGCTTTCTGGGACAACTTGCTTTCTCAGGAAAAGAGCTTTGGAAGCACAAGGAGAATCACATGGATTTGAACACATTTCATTCTTATGATGTGGTGTTGAGACAGTTTCTCTGTGTAGCCCTGGCTGTCCTTGCTCACTCTGTAGAGTAAGCTGGCCTCAAACTCACAGAGATCCATCTGCTTCTGCCTCCTACTTGGGATTAAAGGCGTGTTCCATCATGCCTCCAAGGGTTTCTTCTAAGCCACCCATTAGACCTAATTATGGACTCCACATGCAGAAGACAGACATGCATCATGAGTGTGATGCCAACCTCCTGGGCTATATATTGGACCCTGAGAAAAGAAAGGAGAATGTGCCACCTGTGTCAGTCTTGTATTATCTGTACAGATGGGAAGAGAGAGTATTCAGAAAGAGCAGAAATTCAGGGCATGTTATAATTCATTGGGACTTTTGTGGCCTAGATCTTACTCTGCTGTTTTGATTTCTCTCTCTCTCTCTCTCTCTCTTTCTCTCTGGGACACTTGGGGCTTTAGAACTAGGACACTTCAGAATCTGGAATGAGGATTTTGTTGGTGTGAGTCCAGCTAAATAATCATTTCCTTTTTTAACAACTAACAGAAAAAAAAAATGGAGTTGGTGAAGTGGCTCTGGGTAAAGGCCCTTTCCAGTAACTGACACCTGTAGGATGATCCCTGGGACCCATGTGGTAAAAGGAAGGAGCCACCTCCTAAAAATTGTCCTCTGATTGTCCACTTGCATAGCTCCAGTCCCCAAAACACTAAACTAAACATAATTTATAAATCTTTAAAAGGGGCTGGAGAGGTGGCTCAGTGGTTATAAGACCACTTCCTGCTCTTCCACAGGCCCCAGGTTTGGGTCCTATTACTATGTCAGTGGTTATAAGACCACTTCCTGCTCTTCCACAGGACCCAGCTTTGGGTCCTATTACTATGTCAGGTTGTTCGCAACTTCCTATGACTCCAGCTCTGATTCTCTCTTCTGGTCTCAGTGGGCTCTGACTTGCACTGACGTACAGATGTATATAAAATGAATGAGTAAAAGCATTTTTCAAATGTGGAGTAGAGATATTGTTCAGTGCCAGATTACACAGCATGTGCAGGGCGCAGAGTCAGTCCTCGCAATTGCCAAATAAAATGATGCACTGCAATTAATTTCTGTTCAGTGCAAACACATAGATAATAGAACGAACGTTAACCGAGAGAGGCTTATTCTATGTAGGAAAAAACATTTCAACCTTTATTATTAACTTATTTTTTTTATCTTTGAGATAGGATCTTACTGTGTACCATTGACTGGCCAGGAGCTTGCTATGTAGACCAGGCTGCTCTCAAACTCACAGAGATCTGCCTGTGTCCACCTCCTAAGTGCAGGAATAAAAGCATGGATCACCGCACCTCACTCCAATATTAATTTTATTTCCGTTCTTTTTAAATGCAGCCCCCAGAACCTGATCGCCCAGTCTCAGTCTGGTACTGGGAAAACAGCTGCCTTTGTCCTAGCTATGCTCAGCAGAGTGGAGCCAGCAGACAGACACCCTCAGGTAAGTATTAAGATGCCTGGGATCTGTGCTTGTCTTCCGTGACACTAAGTAGCCATGTGATGAGGCGTAATTAATGTTGGCACCTTAGTCTTTGGCTATCACATAGCAGGTTAATGCTCCAGGCTTTGGGGGTTAGAGTTCTTTTGGAGACAGCAGCTTTAAGCAGTGATTTCTGAAGGCCTTCAATAATACCAAACCAGGGCTCCCATGAGGGCAGGGTTCCTTACTGAAGGCGTTTGTTCAACAGGTGAGAGGTGGGTGCGCGTGAGGAGTAGGGCCCCTGGGCTATTTGAAGAGGTAATAGCGTCAGTGTGCTAGTGGGCTTAGCCCTGTTGTCTGTTACTAAAGTCGTCTTCTGTGATTCTCTGCCAGTGTTTGTGCCTGTCCCCAACATATGAGCTGGCACTTCAAACAGGAAAAGTGATTGAGCAAATGGGCAAGTTTCATCCAGAATTGAAGCTGGCTTATGCTGTTCGAGGCAATAAACGTGAGTACGGGGGATGAAATCTAAACAGAGATCATGGAATTCATAAGCAAACTGATAAAAATAATTTTTTTTTGTTTTTAGCAGGAAGTAGAAACATTTTGTGTCCATAGTACACTGAACAGGTGCTGTTGTACTTCATAGCCGAAGGAGCAAAGCTTGAGGATAGCCCTCACGTGTGATTTATTTATTGGGATGGGATTGTGTGTAGGTTAGAGGATAATTTGTGGGAGTCAGTTCTTTCACCACGTGGTTCCCAGGGATTAAATTTACTTCTTCAGATCTACCAGAAGCCTTTGCACACTGAGCAATCTTAGCAGCCCCTACGCGTGTTTTGAAATCTGAAAATGACTTGTTCTGACAATTCTGAGAGGATGTGTAAGGTGATTATTTCCAGACCTGGCTTTGCCTTTGGGATACCTGAAGAGAACATGTCTTTTCCACAGTGGAAAGAGGTCAGAAGGTCAGTGAGCAGATTGTCATTGGTACCCCGGGGACCGTCCTGGACTGGTGCTCCAAGCTGAAGTTCATTGACCCCAAGAAGATCAAGGTGTTTGTTCTGGACGAGGCTGACGTGATGATAGCAACTCAGGGCCACCAAGACCAGAGCATCCGCATCCAGAGGTAGGAACCAGAGGCAGGAGGAACTTGCCAAGGCCTCCTCTTTCCCCTTTGGGTTCTTTGTTCTGCTCTGTGCAGCAGCATCTGTCTGATGGGCCATTTCCACAGCAGCTCTCACCATGCCCCCAGCATGGGTTGAGAAGAGACCTGCAGTGCCTTGATGGGTCTGCTCCTGCCTCCCCAGGATGCTCTGTATCCAAGTCAGCCCTCTGGGGCTACAGCCCATCCTGGCCAGGGAGGCCGAGCTTGTGTTCCTTCTGGCAAAAGCCATGGAGTCGTGCAAAGTGCCTGGGCCTCCACTTGCAGGATGCTGCCCAGAAACTGCCAGATGCTGCTTTTCTCTGCCACCTTTGAAGACTCGGTGTGGAAGTTTGCCCAGAAGGTGGTCCCAGACCCCAACATCATCAAACTGAAGCGCGAGGAGGAGACTTTGGACACCATCAAACAGTACTATGTCCTTTGCAATAACAGAGAGGAGAAGTTCCAGGCCCTGTGCAACCTGTATGGGGCCATCACCATCGCTCAAGCCATGATCTTCTGCCATGTGAGTAGCTGATGTTGGGAGGCACTGCCCCTCCTTTATTTAGCACCACTTCCTTTGACAGAAGGAACAAATTCTCTGAGGAGCAAAGAACTGGCTTGTGGGAATGGAGAAGATGCTTTATTTTAGTGGTCGTGTTCTGGGAGGTACATACCTTTAACACAGCTTTCCCAGGACAGTATCTATTTGTGGGAGATATGTTATTGAAAATCCAAAAGAGGTCACTGATGATTTGTAAGGAAAAGAAGAAATTTAACAAGCTGGCTACCTTTCCCTGGAAAAAGCACTTGCAAATAGTATTAGGAGACAAAAAGAGTAAGACACGTTCTCTTCTATTAAAGCCAAACTTTCTGCGTTGATTTTATGTTGTTTTCGAGACGGGGTTTCTCTGTATAGTAAAGGCTGGCCTTAAACTCAGAGATCCACCTTACCTACCTCTGCCTCCTGATGGCTGGGATTAAAGTTGCAGTATGTTCTTTTAACTACTGAGCCATCTCTCCAGCCCATTATTGTCTTATGTCATACCTGAGCCAATCAGTGATTGCTTCTGCATTTAGTAATCCTGTCTCTTGAGACTCTCTTTACCCAAAACCATCTCTTCATGTCTCTTGGACATGGCATGTCTGACATGTCTCTTCATGACATGGCCATGTCAAAGAGTCCAGATAATGGAGTAATAGTCTTTTGGAATTTCTATGGTTTCCTCTAGCTCCTTTGTGACCCATTCAGGTTTTGTTTTTGAGATAAGGTCTCAATATGTAGCTCAGACTGGCCATCAACTTTAGGTTTTTCTGCCTCACTTTCCAAGTGCTGGGATTATAAGTAGGTTTATTTTGTTTTTAATGTATTTGTTCATATGTATCAGCATCTCTGTGCATGTACACCTGCATGCTCAGAAAGGGGCATTAGATCCCTTTTTAAAAAATGATTTAATTTTATGTGCATTAGTGTGAGGGTGTCAGATCCCTTGGAATTGGTGTTACAGACAGTTGTGAGCTGCCATGTGGGTGTTGGGAATTGAACCTGGGTCCTTTGGAAGTGCTCTTAACCACTGAGTCCTCTCTCCAGGAACCCCGCCCCTGTCCTTTAAATAGATAGTCATGAACTGCCATGTGGTTGCTAGGAATTGAACTCTGCTCAGGACCTCTGGAAGAGCACAATGCTCTTAATGGCTGAGACATCTCATTAGCCCCTGTTGTTGTTTTAATTAACATTCATTTATTTTATCTTGTGTGTATATACATGCAACAGCATGTCAGGATATCTGGGGAGTCTATTCTCTTCCACAGTGTGAGTCTTGTGGAATCAAAATTAAATCATTAAGTATGGCAGCAAATATCTTTGCCTACTGAACCATTTTACCACACTGAAGTTTATTTTGATAGTGGAAACTTAGTAAAATTATTTCCCAAGTGACATTTTTGTTTGCTTTTGTACTGTCAGGTTGGCAGTTTTAGCATATTTAATGTTAGTTGATAAGTTTTCAGGTACGGTCTAGATTCACAAGTCTTTTTAGGTACTGAGATTTATTAAATGTTTGGTTTCTTTTCTAGACCCGGAAAACAGCTAGCTGGCTGGCAGCGGAGCTCTCCAAGGAGGGCCACCAGGTGGCTCTGCTGAGTGGAGAGATGATGGTGGAGCAGAGAGCTGCAGTGATTGAGCGCTTCCGAGAAGGCAAAGAGAAGGTTCTGGTGACCACCAACGTGTGTGCCCGAGGTGAGCAGAGACTGGCCCGGTTCACCAGGCGTGGGGTCCCAGGCCCTCCCTGTGAGCAAGAAAAGTACTTGTGTCCGTGGTCTCATGGAGGTGGGAGGGTTTAAGGGCAATCCTTCCTAGAGAAGCTGATTCCCGTGGGCAGTAAGAACCTCGTGGGAGATGCCAGCAGTCCTGCCTTGGTGGGAAGAAACTCAGGCTTCCAGACGCTTGCTCCACGTCTTGTAGAGTTCTGTTCTTCTGCCTAGGCTAGAGTCCTATTTAGTGGGGTCCTCTCTAGGGCCCCCATCCTGGTGTGACCTGTCCAGGCCATGTGTCCAGCAGAAGAGAGAGTGTGTGTGTCTGATGGTGGCCCACTGTGTCACCTCCCTTCAACCCCTTTGTACAGGTATTGATGTTGAACAAGTGTCTGTCGTCATCAATTTCGACCTTCCTGTGGACAAGGACGGGAACCCAGACAATGAGACCTACCTGCACCGCATTGGGCGCACGGGCCGCTTTGGCAAGAGGGGTCTGGCGGTAAACATGGTTGACAGCAAGCACAGCATGACTATCCTCAACAGAATCCAGGAGCATTTTAGTGAGTCCCTGAGTTGGCTATGCGTGGAACCTTTTCAGAGGGGCATGTGGGAGAGGGGCGGTTTCCTTTGTCCCCGAGCGGGCTCTGCCCCCACACATGCTGTCGCCATCGGCATGTTGTCAGGGAGCGCAGTCAGGGCTCAGGAGTGGAATATCAGTGCCCTGGGACCAGGCTAGGAGAACCTGGCTTCCTGGGAGGTTGGCAGGAGTGGCCCGGGCCCTGGAGCCAGCTGTCCAGGCTGAGGCAGCCTGCCTTGTGCTAGAGGAAGCATCACTGTTGCACAGGAGTTGCCTCCCCAGACTGCCTGCGGCTCTGAGTGACTTGGTTGATTTCCATGGTGGTCTTCCAATCTTTTTCTCCCTCAGATAAGAAGATAGAAAGATTGGACACAGATGATCTGGATGAGATCGAGAAAATAGCCAACTGAGAAGCTTCTCCAGCAGCTGACGCCACCCTCAGCACTGTTCCTGCCTGGGAGCCTAGTGCTTTCATGGCATAGGCCTTGACAGACACCTCAGAGACCAAGGCCTGAGTAGAGACTACCTACCTCATTCAGAATTACGTTTGGACTTGACAAATTTTCGAAAACAGTAGGACGAAAATCTAAGGAGATTTTGCATTTTAGAAAGTAGTCAGAGCTGGGTGTCCCGGTACACACCGGGACACCCAGCACTTGAGAGGCTGAGTTACAGGACAGCCAGAGACATGTAGTGAGACACTCTCCATGCAAGAGTCCTTTCCACTAACCCTTTTAAAGCCAGTTTTCTCTTGTATGGTAATAAGGTTGCTGTTGGTGATGTTTGGGCCCCAGACTGTGTACCCACTCTCTGGCTACATGTGTTTGGACCAAACTCCAGCCTTGAATAAGTGACAGAAGAAAAGGTGTTCAGAGAGGCCAGGAGAAGCACAGCATGGCTGTGGCAGGCTGCCTTTGATGGAACTAATAGAGACCCTCTGTACTCCACCCACCCATACCACCTCCTCAGTTCCTCCCTGGTGAGATTCTTGGCTACTACTTTATTTTTCAGGTTGACAGACTCAAGACATAGGTCTATTGGGTAGACAGTTCCTTTGAAGATGGAGTCTGTCTTTACCCCTGCTCACTTCATCTGTTCTGTGCCTGGCTCCATTATTTGGTTCTAGTGCATAGGGTTTCATGCCAAGCAGTAATTTAGAAAGGACGTTATGACCAAGCAAGACCTCTTTAATTATGCTGTAAGCAGGCTTATGGGTTATTTCATACATTGTGTGAATAAGATTAGATAAATCCGTGATAAAACGAAGTTCTATGAAATTTTAAAATAATTATGAGAAGCATTTTACTAATCATGGTTTATTTGTATTTTTATGCTTACTAGACTAATATATGCTCATTAAAAAGTGTGTATAAAAAGTGCTCTGTGTGCTCCCTGGAGGCACCGCAGCTACCAGCTTGCTCAACCTGTCTTACCATTTCTCCTCCATCTTCCACATATGCTTTCATTTTCAGCAGTATGAACACTTTAACAGTATTTTTTAACCTGATGTTTCACTTGTATGTATTTTGGAGATTTCAACAGATCCTGTACATATGTACATACACACACACCTATGTCACTCTGGAAAGTAGCTATTACCCTAATGTGGGGCCACCTGGCCCATATTTAACCAGTGTTAAGTATTGAGGATTGACAGCATGTTCCAATGTCCACAGTGCCATGTTGACCACCTCAGTCCCTGTCAGAACTGTTCTTACATTGCTGGGGTTAGAATTCTTAGGTCAGAATGGGATTTTTTTTTTTTTTTTTTTTTTTTTTTTTTTTTGAGACAAGGTTTCTCTAGCCTTGGCTGTCCTGCACTTGCTTTGTAAACCAGGCTGGCCTTGAATTCACAGAAATCAGCCTGCCTTTGCCTCCCTGAGTGCTGGGATTAGAGGTGTACACCACAACCCCCCTGCCAGAGTGGAACATTTAAAGTTTTAATTCACCACCAACTCCTTAGAATCCTTTTGTTTTTGTCTTTTTGAGATAGGGTTTCACTGTGTAGCTCTAGATGTCCTGAAACTATGGAGATCAGCCCTACTCTGCCTCCTAAATACTAAGATTAAAGGTGTGTGCCACCTTGCCTGGTTTATATTATCAATCTTTAAAACTTTGCCAGTCTACAATCTGGAGAGATGGCTCAACAGTTAAGGTCATTTGCTGCCTTCGTATACAGCACCCACATATAGTCAGCTGGTTCACAATTTCCTGTTACATCCAGTTCAGGAGGGATCTCTTTGGGCACCTGGCAGTATTGTGCACCCTACCCCCAGAAAGATAATTGCCTTTAATGCCAGCGCTCTGTATTCAAGACACTCTTTAGTTCCAGGACAGCCACAGCTACATAGACACCCTGTCTTGAAACAAAACCAAGACCATCCTTACTGTAGAGTCGGTTTGTGGGTAATATATTTTTATGTTCATGTAGATCTTCAGATGCCTGGTGTGCTGTGCTCACCTGTGATCCTATCCAGGTAGTATTTTCTGAGCCCAGAATTTAGGGTATTAGTAACAGCAAGGCCCCTTTTCAAAGAAAAAAAAAAAAAAAAAACATTTAGAGAAGCCTCTTGGATGTGAATTTTTTGGTCCCATAGAAGGGAGTACATGACAGACGTACAGGTAAATGGGCCGGCATTCCAGCCCTTGAATGAGGGTGAAAATGATGAGAGCAGGTGTGAGATTAACACTCATGGTCTCCCGTGGAAGGGTAATGCAGGAGACAGCATGGTTTGTATGTATGTGGGTGTACAGGCGTGTGAGCACTGAGGGGGTGTTCCAGAAAAGGAGAAGGCACAAAGCAAGATGATAACACCTGGACTGACACTGAAAATGAAAAACATAACCATATTCCTTAAAAAGGCAGATAGGGCTGGAGAGATGGCTCGGCGGCTGACAGCACTTTCTGCTCTTCCAGAGGACCTGGGTGTGATTCCATGTGTGAGCCCACATGGCAACTCAAAACTCTACTTCCTGGGCATCTGACATATATCCAGGCAAAACACCAATGCACATAAAATAAGTCATTTTAAAAAAAGGCAGCTGAATGGTGGTGGGTCACCCCCACATTTAAGAGGTCAGAGGCAGCTGATCTCCAGGCTTAAGGCCAGTTTGCTTGGTCTACAGTGTGAGTTCCAGGACAGCCAGGGCTCCACAGAGAAACCTTATCTTGAAAAGCGACAAAACCATGCTATTAAATGTAGAGGTTTTAAAATTTAATTCTGAGAGCCATTTGACACCTGTTTTAGTGAGATTTAAGGAATGGACCCAATATTTTCCCCCAGTTTCCTGGTTACTCTATGAAGTGTAAGCATTTACCCTTAATGATAGGCAAAGCTGAGGAAGGTATTATCTGCCCCAGCAGCTCTTCCAGAGAACTGTCCCTTTGCATAGTACCTTGGTGTACTGGCAGCAAGATGTGGGCCTCCTGTAGTATGGTTGAAGTCAGAAAGATGTAAAGACAGAACTCCAAAGAGAACTCACCCTAGAGCCATGGGAAAAGGAAAGCTTTATGGGTGCTGAGATGACTCAACATGAGCCCTTTGTTTATAAAACCCCAGGTTTATAAAGGGTCATTTCAGATGAACCAGGAATTCTTCCAAGTCATTACTCTTTTGGAGGAATCTGAAAAGGGGAAAATGAATTTGATTTTTGCTCACTTTTTTTTTTTTTTTTTCTTTGAGAGTGATACTTATTTTCATGTCTCAACCTCCCAACTGCTGGGATTATAGCCATATGCCACCACGCCTGGCACAATGAATTGATTTTTAAAACAACACTCCAGAGCCTTTGGGGAACTTCTGAGAGCAGAGCCCATGGACTATGCTCCTCAAGGGTAAGAGGGTTATCAGAGATGCTTTGTTCTCCCAAACATCCTTGCCTCCTCAGATACCCCTCCAATGGTATAGTTCAGAACAGATGAGTGACTCTATGGGGTTTGTTATTTTTAATTCAGAAAAAGAAAGGGAAGGAAAATATTTGAATGTTTAAATAACTATAGAACAGAAGATTTGGATTCTGGGACCTACCTCTTCTAGAATGGGGATTAATGGTTTAAACAAAACAAAGGGAAGAAGCGGGGAGAAATAAATTATTCTCAATACTGTTTGGCGTAATTACTTTGTTTTTCAACTTCTCATCACAGCAGCTTCTTGGAGCAGAGACGAGACAGGCAAGAGCAGAGCAACTGGTGCCCTGGCTGCAGTTTCCCTGGAGTCCTCCTCAGTGTGACCCCCTTTTCCCCACCCCCGCTTTTGGGACTGGGAAGGAACAGACTCGAGCAAAGTTCTCCATGTATTAATCTTTAGGGGTACTTGCTGCCTCATCCCAACCCTCTAAAACTCTCCCTGTGGGTAACTGTCCCCCAACTTGGTAATGTCAACTCATTAAGAATGGGAAGTATTTATGTGGACACTGCAGGGAAGAAGGGAGTGCTTTCTGTGGCCTGAGACATTCAACGAAGCCCTTTCTCCCAGTGAACCTCAACCTCTGACCTGGGTCAAGTCATGCAAGCAGCTTCCGGCTCTAACCCCCGATTCTTGACTCACCAGCCCTTCAGGAGCTGGAAAGCGGGTTAGAACAGGCGAGTAAGCAGGGTAAAGATGCGGACAGGAGGAGGCATGCATGGCAGCCACCAATCCGCTCCTCCCCAGCAAAGCTCTGAGCCATCTTGCAAGGCCTGCAAAGAATTGTCAAGCAATCTTGGTTGGGCAGCCATCCCTGGCAGTTTCAGGGTAACTAAAGTATGAGTCCAAAGCAAATCCTACCCCCAAGCAAGAGGCTGCCTGCTCCTCTTTGGGGTGACAAAGAAAAAGTTACATGCACAGGCTGCTGGGCTTTCCTTTCCAACCAGCTGAACAGTGCGCTGCTCTCGCCTCAGAGCTAAAGACATGGCAGCGTGGTGTGAGTGCCGGAGCAGCAGCGTCCCAGTGGTCTCATTTTGTCTCTAAAGCACAAGTTAGCTGGAGAGGAGGCCCAGGGCCCAAGGACAGACGCTGAGAAGGTGGTGGTGGGGACAGAAGTGAGGGCACACGTGAAAGAAGCACCTTGCATGTGACCCGGTGGAGCTTCCTACCCCTTCCTGACACTAGCGAGGCCCTGGGGAGGGGGTCCACCCAACTGGGGGTGAATACAATCCCCGACTGCCCGGTGAGCCATGGGATGCCCTGGAGAGGTCTCGCCGCGATCACATTTCTTTGGTGGGCTTCACTCACCCATCCGGGCCTGAACTGGAAACGAGCAGTCCAAGGCGCTCCTGCCCAGCCCCAGAGCGGCCTCTCAGAAGGCGGTAAAGAAACTCTTATCCAAAGCAGGGTGGGGGGAGGGGTTTGAAGCCCGCCGCATCCCAAGGCCATGATTGGTGGAGACGGCGGGGCCGAAAGTTCCTTGAGTCGCATGATTGGCTAAGAAAGAGAAGCCCCGCCCAACTGCAGCACTGATTGGTTGCTGGGGACAGCGCAGTCTGGTGGGCGGCAGCTGGCGCGTGCCCGTCCCAGGTGCAACTGGTCCTGATGGCGCCCAGGGCCGCTCAGTTCCCTCGGTAGACCTCGATTTTGCTGGCCTTGGCCAGCATGTCAATGATGTGGGCTTCGAAATCGGCATCGTGCACTCCTGTCTTCCGGAACTCGCCCGCATACCGGTTGTTCTCCCAGTAGTGATGCCAGTTGCCTCTGCTGTCGGCCCCGAACCCATACACGTTCACCTGCAAGGAAGGTGGCAAGAGGGTCACTGGGAGTCGGGGACCCTAGTGGGGGACACCCAGGTCTGGCTTAAGGACACTGACTCAGAGGGGACTGCTGTCTCTTTTATTTCTCATTTGTCTTTTCCTTTTCTACAGCGGGGTCATATGTGGGGTCATATGTGGCCCAGGTTGGCCTCAAAATGGCCCCCCCATCTCAGCCTCTCCAAGTGCCACCCATGACTCAGCTATAAATTCGCCTTTTTGCTGTTGTTGTTGGTTTTGTTTGTTTTTAATGTGCACTATAGACAGTTGTGAGCCAGTACATAGGTACTGGGAATTGAACCCAGGTCCTTTGGAAAAGCAGCCATCTCTCCAGCCCAAAATTTACTTTTTTAATGAAGTAATTTTCGTAGTAAAGTTTAAACAGTAATAACAATTGGGAAATGTAAATATATTGTTTATAGGACAGATATGAAAAAACCTTATCCACAAGATTTCTGTCTAAAAAAAATCTACTTCCCCTAGGACCACTGCTAAGATAGGGAAAGGCCTGTTTCCTCTGTTCATGGGTTCTGCTACTTCCCCTCTAGTCTAGTGATACTGCCTACCTCATCACACACATGGAGCGCAAAGAAGAGCACCAGCATTCCTGTGGAAGGGTACCGTCCGTGATGCTCTGTCCACCTGTCATGGATGTACTTGAAGAAGGCTGGGTTGTAGATCTGGACCTGCAAGGAGAGTAAGGGCACATGAAGAGTTTGGAGGCCTAGAGATCTGGGCCAGGCTCTGAACAGCTTCTAGCACTTTCTCAGGAGATCGACTCATAGGTTTTTCTAGGTTCTTGTGGCCAGCGCTGGGGTCAGGTGTTCCAGCAGAGGTAGATTTTGATGGTCTTGGAAGGGCACCATGCCACTCCCGAGCTACAGGACTAGGTAGACCTTAAATAAACCAGCATAATTTCCATGATGGTCGGGGTCAAAAGAACAGGGGGAAGGGAACTGACCTTTTCTTTATCCACACGAAGGAAAGACTTCACTGGAGCATAGGTGCTGCAAGAAGACAGAAAAATTTTCTAGACTGATGTTTCTCTTTTCTCTTTATCGAGACAGGGTTTCTCTATGTAACCTTGGCTGTCCTGGGCTTGCTTTGTAGACCAGGCAGGCCTCAAACTCACAGAGATCTGCCTGCCTCTGCCTCCCTGAGTGCTGGGATTACAGGCGTGTGCCTCCGCACCCAGCTAACCTATTTTCATTGCATGCTCGTCACTGCAAGACCTTGATCAGAAACCTTCAGTGGCTTTCTGGATACAATTGTTGTATTTTAGTTAGGCCTAAGTACCTCCAGGTTCAACCTTTCTTCCTTCCCCAAGATGCCTGCTGGGGGAACTCTACATTTGGATAGCTGAACATCTAACACTCATCGTGTGTGCTAGCTAGTTTTTATGTCAGCTTGACCCAAGTTTGACATAAGCATGACACAGTCTAAGGGGCAGAAACCTCAACTGAGAAAAGTTTCCAGAAGATCCGGCGGTAGGCAAGCTTGTAGGGCATTTTCTTAGTGATTAATGGAGGAGGGCGCCGCCCACTGTGGGTGGAGCCACCCCTGGGCTGGCAGTCCCGGGTTCCATAAGAAAGGAGGCTGAGGGCTGGAGAGATGGCTCAGAGGTTAAGAGTGCTGGCTGTTCTTCCTAAAGGTCCTGAGTTCAATTCCCAGAGACTGCATGGTGGCTCACAACCATGTAAAATAAGATCTGGTGCCCTCTTCTGGATTGTAGGCATACATGCAGGAGAATACTATAAATAAATAAATCTTAAAAAAAAAAAAAAGCAGGCTGAGCAAGCCAAAAGGAGCAAGGCAGTATTAAACCAAAAGGAGCAAGGCAGTATTAAACCCTTCAGCCATCTCATTATCTTAAAAAAAAAAAAAAAAAAAAATTAGTTTTATTTTTTTGTATTTTATGTGCATTAGTGCTTTGTATGTATGTCTGTGTGAGGGTGTCAGATCTTGGAGTTACAGATAGTTGTGAGCTGCCATGTGGGTGCTGGGAATTGAACCTGGGTCCTCTGGAAGAGAAGTAAGTCAGTGCTCTTAACTGCTGAGCCATCTCTCCAGCCCCTTTAGTTATATTTTTAATGTGTATGTCTACACATACATATGTACACTAGTGGTTTAGCATTTGCCTAATATATTCAAGGTCCTGGGCTTGATCCCCAGCACCACAAATAAAGTAATATAAATTGTCATATGACTAAATTTTAAAAAAAAGGTGGTGACAACAGCCAATAAGTGAAAACAATCTATATAGCCATATTGATGAGAAAAAAGAGCCCCACAATCCAGAGCTGCCTTCTGGAGAGAACGGGTCCAAGGCTTTTTGCCACTAATGTACTGAGTAGCACCAAGGAGGAAGAGACAAAGCAGAGCTGTACCTTCAGCTTACCCATTTGAGCCCTCCCCTCCTCACTAACTCAATCAGAGGAGATTCTGAATTCAGAAGAGCCCTTCCCCAGAGCCCTTCCTGTCACCCATACTCCACCCAGCCAGCAAAGAGGCTCACAATCGGATCTGTCCTGTGGAGAGGGCGCTGGCGATCCACATTAGGTCCAGGGCCTTGAAGGGTACCAATACGAAGCTGACATTGGCAGGCAGGTTCTTGGCACTCTCGGGGTACATGAAATGGTGGGTGGTTCGGCTGCCAACATCCTTCTCAAAGCCCACAGTCGGTGCCTGATTCATCCTGAAGAACAGAAGAGGGTGATACGAGACGGGAACGACTGTGGAAAGTGGTACACGTGTTTTAATCTGGCACTCGCCAAAAATGAAAACGGAAGCTGGACATGATGGCTCATCGTTCTAGCACTCAAGAAGCTGAGGCAGGAGGATTGCCACACAATTGAGGCTATCCTGCGCTGCAGAGTGACACCTGTCTCAAGAAAAATAATTCTTTTAAATGATGAACAGTTTGACTCAGCAATGGTTGCTTAAGATAAGACTATTCCATTAATCAAAGAACTGGTCAGTACAATTTGTATATTCATCAACTCAACACCAGAATGGAGCAAATTTTACATGCTGGTAACAAACCCAACAATATTCAGTGAAACATCCAAGGGGTGGAAAGTACCCTGATTCCTTTGTTGTTTTTTGTTTGAGACAGGATCTCACATAGACCAGACTGGCCTTAAATTTGCTAAGTACCTAAAGCTGGCCTTGAACTCCTGACCTCCTGCTTCCACCTCCCAAGTGCTGGGATTACAGATGTGGACCCCTATGTAAAGGCAAGCCTCCCATGTTGGTAAACACCTTACATCACAGGTGAAATAGGTCTGAGCCTGAGCCTGCTGGTCTCGCTCTCTGCTGTTACGAAGGCGTTTCTGTCGTCCAAAGACGGAGCACCTTGGAGCACCACAGTAGGGCAACCATGAGCTCTGCTCCGTCACTATGGCACAGGGACCCAGGACGGAGAAACGGTCTCATGTGCCTCCCTAGCTTTCACGCCAGCTCTATGAAACCAGCACAAATGTCCCATCAGAGTGGCTGGCACCATCATCTGGGCTGGTGTAGACTTCCTGTGCCACAGGGCACCTCTGCTGTTTTCCTCCTGCTCCTCTCCCAGTAGCATAAGTGTCAGAGGAGGTAAGGGAAAGATCTCAGTTGCCTGTGGATGGAAAAGGGAAGAAGGACACCAAAGAATTCGGCTGGTGACACTGGGCTGAAAGACCTAAGAAACAAACTTCATCTTTTGTCGCTGTTGCTTTTGTTTTGTTTTTTTGAGACTAGGTTTCTGTGGGTAGCTCTGGCTGTCCTGGAACTAAATTTGTAGACCAGGCTAGCCTCAAACTCAGAGATCCACCTGCCTCTGCCACCTAAGCACTGGGTTTAAAGACAAGCGACACCACCACCCTGCTGCAAACTTCACTGTACCAGAGACTGATAGACCAAGCCCTGAAGAGCAAAGGGCTGTGACCATCCAGTTTTACGGGAAAATGTATGAAAGGAGGACTATTTGAGAAGAGGAAGCAGACAACCTAGAGGAAAGAGGGACATGAGAAGGCAATGGTAGGTGACTGTGATCAAAATGAATGATATACACATACAAAAATACGTGAAGCCCATTATGAAAGGCTAGGGTTGCCCCAGGCTGGCTTCTACTGGCCTACTGCTTGCTTTCTCCACTGTACAGCAGCCAGAGTCTACTGCCAGGCAAGAAGTCTCTCACCAGGCCTGGCGGTGGGATAGTCTGCTTCCCACTCCTGTGCTTCCTTCCCCTTTCACCCCCTCTAGACCCCAGACAGCAAGTGCCTGGAATAAAGGTCCACAATGAAGTCCAAGACGATGTTTCACAGCCTCCACAGGAATGAGAGGAAACGTGTCATTCTTCTGGAGGCTCTGGCTCATTCTAGATAAGCCAGGTCCTGAAACGGAGCCAGAGGGTGACACAGATCTCTGGGACACAGAGCCAGGCATCCCAGAAACCTATCGGTTCCTAGCTGCCTCCAGCAGCCAAAGCAATGCTGGGCAGGGTGAACTACATTTCCCTTGGGGCACAGTGTTTGGCTCACTCATGTTTGCATCATGCCTTCTATCACCAGACCATGCTAGGAGCTGAATGTATCTCCCCACTAGAAGAGGCAAGAAATGCTCAATTGCAGTTGGGGTTATCAGCTAAGTGACCAAAGAATTTACGGGAGCAGAAAAGCTGGAGGCAAGAGGACAGAGAGGAAGGTACAGCTATATTTCACTGCTCTCCCTGATTCTGGGATAGAAGACTTCCCTTCTCATTCCAAATCAAGAGAGGTCTGCAGGCAGCTGCCACTACTGCCATCTTGGCTCTTTATAGAGACCACATACAGATAACTATCATTTGGGTCACCCCGTCTACAAAGCAATTCCAGGGCCCACTCCAAACACTGTATCTTGATCCTGCCTCACGGGAAGGAGAAGCTGCGGCAGTGCCTGCAGCTAGGACTCCCAGCTGTAAGAAGCAGCCACGGCTTTTGCTGCAGGCTTTGACCTCTTGGGCTTCCCAATCATCACCAAGGAACCAACGACAGAGCTGGCCAGAGGAGCAGGTACTCGGGTATCTGAGAGTTTCCTTGGGCCTTCCGAGTTCCCCAGGGTTGAAGAGAAGCAATGGAAGCCTCACCCCCTAATCTCAATAGTTTTCACCAACTCCTAGCTTCCTTCCCTTTAAAGTGCCAGCAACTGGAAGATGAGGATAATCCAGGTGGCTCTGGAGTTCTAGGTGTAAGTCAGTATTCTGTTTCTCCATCCATCACTATCTCTCATCATGAGGAAGAGCTTGCAAAAAATGTAGAAAGCCTCAGAGACATAGTGCTGTGTTGGTGTTGCTATGGAGACAGCAACAGTTCCTAAGACAAAGGCCTTCTGCCTCCCGGGAAATCTAGTCTTTCTGCAATGCTCACCTCAGGAGATGTTGAGTAAAAGACCTGGCGTTTTCAGTATTTTATTTACTTATTCATTTATGTGTGTGTGTGTGTGTGTGTGTGTGTGTGTGTGTGTGTGTGTACACTTCAGTGTGCAGTCACCTGTGGAGATGTGGAGATGAAGCTAGAAATTGACAGTGGGAGTCTTCCTCTCTTTCTTTTCATTTTATTTATTTGTGTGTCCTTGTTTGTGTGTTGGTAGCCACATGCCAAGGTACACTGGTACACGCATGGAGGTCAGAGGACAGAGTCTGGGTGGCAGTCCTCACCTTTTTACTGAGGCAGGGTCTCCTTGCCAACTGTGCCGGCGAGGGTAATGAGTGTTCAAGCTTCTGGAGAATGTCCTGTCTCTGCCTCTCTGGACCTACAGGGGAGCACTGGAACTGAAGAAGCCAGTGCTGCAGCATCTGGCTTTTTTATGGGCTCTGAGAATCCAAACTCAGGTTGTCGGGGTGGCTCAGCAGCACCTTATCTACTGAGCCATCCTCCCATGCCCCACCCTCATTTTTTAAGACAGTTGTTTTTGTTTGTTTGTTTTTTTTCTTTTTTTCCCTGAACCTAGAGCTCACCATTTTTGGCTGGACTGGCTGACCAGCAAGCCTCCAGGATCTACCAGTCTCCATTCCAGCTTTACTGGGGTACAGGTGCTGGCTTTTACGAGGTATAAATGCACTAGAGCCTGGTTCTCAGGCTTGCACAGCAAGCACGTTAATAATCTGAACCATCTCCCTAAACCTCATTACTGATCTCTAAGACAGGGAGGGCCTTGTGTATCCCAGGTTGGCTTTGAACTCAGTAAGTAACGGAAGATGAACTTGAACTCCTACCTCTGCACAGGTATGCGTCACTATGCTGGGGATCAAACTCAGAGCATTGTACATCCTAGGCAAGCACCAACTGTACAATATCTCCAGCATGAGGTTTTGTGTTCTTTTTTTTCTGAGACAGGGTATCACTATGTAGCCATGGCTGATTTCAAACCCAGAGATTCACCCATATCTGTCTTGGGTGTTGGGATTAACGGTGTGGGCTACTGTGCCTGGCTTTGAGATGTTTTTTTTTGTTGTTGTTGTTTTTTAAGCCAGCAACTTACTATGGCAGCCCAGGCTGGTCCTGAACTTAAGATCTTTCAGCCTTAGCTTCCAGAGAGCTAAGATAAAAATGCATGAATGTGTGACTATGCCCACCTCACCCTCTTTTAAAGAGAGGTTGATTTAGTGTACTTCGAGGACAGCAGAGTGGGCAGTAACAGGAACACCTCCTGCCACCTCCTGTCGCCAGGTGGTGGCGACACTCTCCTTTAATCCCAGCACTTGGGCAGCAGATGCAGGTGATCTCTGGACTCAAGGCCAGCCTGGTCTACAGAGTTCCAGGACAGCCAGAGAGCCAGGGCTACACAGAGAAACTCTGTCTCTAACAACATAATAAACATATGTGTGAATGTGTGTGTATATACAGGTATGTATATGTAACAACTATGTCCCATGCCCAAGAAGGTCAGAAGGGAGTATTAGACCCCCTGGAACTGCAGTCAGATGACTCTCAGCTGCAATGTAGGTGTTGGGAACCAGACTCCGGTCCTCTGCAAGTGCTCTTAACCACTGAGCAACATTTCCAGCTCCCAAGATTTATATTTTGAACACTTCCTTCACACTCAAACTCGAAAAACTGGGGCAAGACCAAGACTATCAACTGAAGCCTCTGGGTGCTCCATTCCTTGGCACACTGGGCAACTGGTAATTGTACCCTAGCAGAAAAGACCAAAGAGGACTGGCAAGATGGTTCAGTGGGTAAAAGAGCCTGCCTCCAAGCCCGAAAATCGGAGTCTAATTTGTGGCACCCATGTGGTGAAGGGACTTGTACCAGCTGTCCCAATGTCCCAAAACTAAAGTTAAAAACAAAACAAAACCAAAAACCAAAGAGACAAGCAAGTGTCACGGATTGTCTTCCCGTCCCCGTGCCTGGTTCCGTGAGAGCTCACCTCATGATAAAGTTGTGGCTGTCCACTTCCTGCCCATAGCCAGAGCCCCGGAGGTTGCCTGAGTTCCCCACCACAGCACAGCGCCGGCACTGTTGGGGGTCCCGGAAGCGGTAGGGGTTCTCACCCGGCACGATCTGGAACAGCTTCTCCAGCACCTCGTTGGTGTTGTGCGACTTGAATTGGGGTTGCAGCATCTGGGCAGGGGAGATGGCTGTGAGGACGGAGAGACTCTCACCCCTTCAAACCTCCCCTCCAGTCAGGGCCACACAGACCTCCTTGCCCAGGGCTGTCTGGGAGCCCCTCCCCAAGCATGGAGGAACTCCTCTCTCCATAGTAGCAAAGTCTTAATTCCCAGTCACTGTCACTATTGAGAGCCCAGTGCCCAGTGCTCTGCCAGTTGTGGGCTCCTCCAATGAGCCAGAGAGGCTGGGGGGGAGGGGGTATCAAAGTGCCATTTGAGGCACTTTGGAGGGTCCTTCAGGGATATTTCCAATCTGTCCCCAGGGGGCCACCTGGGGACTCCTCTATAGCCATGATGACCTTCTGCGGATCAGAGGGAGGTACAGGAGTTCTTTCAAAGCCAGATGGCTGGAATAAAACTGTTCCCTCTGCCTCTTATCAAGGGCTAGAATTCAAACTGCTAATGATCAACAAATACTCCATGCAGCTGAGGTTATGCTTGACCTCTGAACCCTTCTGTTTCCCCCTCCTAAGTATTGTGTTTTGCCAGAGACAGGGTTTTCAGTGTGTAGTCCAGTCCAGGCTGGTTTTGAGTTTGCCATGTAACACTGGCTGGCCCTGAACACTCAGTGTTCATCTTGCCTCAGCCTCCTGAGAGCTGGGATTGTAGATATATACCACCATAGCCTGCCAAGTTCAGTGCTCAGTGGGGCCAGGCAGATGACACACAGGAGCAAAGGCAGTGGGGCGCACAGCAAACAAAAGACCACACGCCTACAATCAATCAATAAAGGCAATCCATGAGTCACTGAGATGTCTCAGGAGGTGAAGGCGTTTGCTGCCATGTCTGATGACCGCCGCCACACACGTGATATGACACACACACACAGAGGAGAGACAGAGAGAGAATAAGTTTAAAAATTTTTTTCAAAGAATTTTCATCCCAACACTTGGGAGGCAAAGGCAGGCAGATCTCTGAGTTTGAGTCTGGCCTGGTCTATAGATTGAGTTCCAGGATAGCCAGGGCTACACAGAGAAACCCTGTCTGAAAAAACAAAATAAAATAAAATAAGTTGTTTTTTTTTTTTTTTTTTTCAAAGAAAAACCAGCCAACTGTTGCCACACAGGAAAATTTCCAGGAGAAACTAAAAATATAGATTTCATGTGAAACCTTCTGAATTTTAAATGTTGGTAGTATAAGTATTTTTAAAAACAGCAGGCTGGACTTCTTCCACAATACAGGGCCACCAACTGGTAATATTGAAACTGACACTTCAAAATGTCATAGACTCATCCGGGTGGTGGTGGCACACGCCTTTAATCCCAGCACTTGGGAGGCAGAGGCAGGAGGATCTCTGCGAGTTTAAGGCCACCCTCATCTATAGAGAAAGTTCCAGGACAGCCACAACTACACAAAGACAGCCAGGATTACACAAAGAAACCCAGTCTCGGGGGGGGGGGGGGGGGGGGGGGAAGAGAACAAAAAATGCCACCGACTCTCAGGAGGCTGAGCCCAAGGATCCCAGGTCTGAGGCAGCCTGAAATACATGACGAAAGCCTAACTCAAAGAAATACAGCAATGCCAGGTATGGCGGCACACACCCCTACTCTCCGAGCACGGGAGGTAAAGACAGGCAGATCTCTGTGAATTCAAAGTTGGTCTGGTCTACACCGTGCGCTCCAGGCCAGTCAGGGCTTTATAAGACCCTGTCTCAAAACAAAACAAAAAGCCAAGTGGAATGGTGTGCACAATCCCAACACTCAAGATTCTGAGGAAAGAGAATCACCACAAACACAAAGGCAGCCTGATCCACATAGCACGATCCAGGCCGCACTGTGATTGTTTCAAAAAAAGAAACAAAGCAAAACACTGGGCAGTGGTGGTGCCTTTAATACCAGCACTTGAGAGGCAGAGGCAGGCAATCTTTGAGTTTGAGGCCAGCCTGGTCTACAGAGAAGAAAGAAAGAAGGAGGGAAGGAGGGAGGGAGGGAGGGAGG